TCTCGACCCATATACACATCTCAGTTACATTACACACCTGAACAGGTAAACCCATTCTTCCCATGGACTTTTTAATTTCATTTCAGTATATACTTGAACGGACGCATACAAATCTTAACAGATACATCACACACATACATATATTATTCACCTCTCAAAAAACACCACAATACATTTTATTCTACAATAAATGTAACATTTTGCTATTTTGTACTAATACTTCCTAAAAAATTATTCACTTTTAAATCTTATGATACATCTTTAAATAAATGTTTTTTTGTAATGACCACTTAGACATGCACAAACTGGTGAAACATCACACACAACACTCTTATCTAACTGTTCTAACTAAAGTGATCTCACAACAATATTCTAGCCATGCGCATATCTGAATGGGAAGAAGGACAGTAATCATCTGAACAGACAGCAGATTTTACCACCGGTCGGATCTGACAGAAGGGTGAGACTCAAGCTCACACACATGCACAGCACATACTCGCATAGACGTAATTTATAGCTTCACTTTAAACCCTGAATGTGTTTGTATGTCAAGTGCCCTTTTGCAGCTGAGTGAGTCGTAAAAATGAAAGGGGCAACTTTTATTGTGCTCATCAGTTTGACTCTTCATTTGAATAGTTTTGCCTCTTGTGGCCGGTTTCTAAAGTTACAGTATAGTGAGAGAGAACATCAGCAGGACACTAAGAGTCAGAGGAGGACTGTGTTTATCTGAATATAAAAAATACATTGTTTAATTGGGACATTCAGACCATGTGTATATTAGAAATGTGAGAAAGATGCCATAAAAATACCATGGAATAAACCTGGGGTCAAATAGGTCACGTTCCTTTTTTAACAACTTGTAAAATCTTACAAAATCTTTTAAAGTTATAAAGTACATCTATATTTTCCCAGATTTGGAAAATAATGGCTCTTATGAACCTGTTCTTTATAAAGAGTCGGTCAAAAATTTTAACAAAATTTGAATCAGTGAATCGTATAGTGCCATCATTTGAAGTCACAACTGACTCTCAATACTGTTACTGTGCAGTTTGGCAGTTTTACATGGTTTAATGGGCAGTTTTACATCAGTCAATTTACTGATCGATTATTATGAATGATCAATAATGGTATTCTTGGGAAATTAAGTCTAATCATTTACAAAAAAAAATCCTGCTGGTTTTTGTTTAACATGCTAAAGTGTTTTATTTGAGGAGAATTGAAATTCGTGAATAGATATGATTAGATTAAAGCAAACAAGCAATCATTTTTAAACAGTATCTTCTCAAATTTGACAAGCTACAATTCCAATATAGATGTTCTTATTTAAATGTCGGGTGATAGACCTGTACTTTATGTTTGATGTTTCATTTACTCTGCTGTATTTTCAGTCGCAAACATGCTTGCTTCCCATCCTCTTGAGTTCAGTCAGTTCCTCTGAATCTAAACTCAGCTCAAGTCACTGTGGAGATGGGCTGGAGCTCAGAACGTTTCTCCCCCAGTTGGAGAAACCAGGCCAAACTGAACCATCTGGACGTTACTGCCGTGCATCTCGACGTGGAGATGAGAAAAACCGAGCTGATGGTAACAAGCTGCATTTTCAGCTTTATCCCATAAAATCGGGAGTCACTTTAACAATAAACACAATACTTTGAACTACTTTGCAGGTAGGATGACCCGCCACCTGTCCCATTCCCTCTCTGGGGCAATACTCCATGATGCTGGAGGGAGAGAAAGAACTGGAAAAGGATTGGAGTTTTCATCTGCACAGCAGCGCGGTTCTGTAGAGCGGCTTTCCACATCCTCTCTTGAACCCTTTTCAGCTCCTTCGGCTGCCGTGGAGTGTCCTAATTGTTCCCGGGAACGAAATATACGTCAGGAGTATGACAAGATCATTCTTCATGTTAAGAGAGACAAAGATTCTCTGAGTCAAAAAGTAGCAGAACTGGAGAATGAGTTGAAGATGAGAGCGACACAGGAGAGAGAAGATGGAATGAGTTGGGAAAAGAAAAACGGAAATGAAGAATCATCCAGCTGCCCATCTGCAGGTCCAGGAATATTACAGACTGCAGAGGTACCAACACTTCACACCATCTAATATACTGAAAATGTGCTGGGTTATGTCACCGTTCCTCACTTTGTTGTAGAGGAACTCCTGTTCCTAATCCACATCATACAACTCTGGGACCCTGGATCTCTTCAGTAATAAAAGGGAAAAATTCTCAAATCTTAATACAAATTAGCTAAAACCAATTTTTTTTAATTTACTAATGTTTTCAATTTACTAATGATTATAATATTTACTTTTTAAATATTATTTTATGTATTTTATTCATGGTATACATGCATGGTATGATTTGTTCAGGTAAATATAAATGTCTCAACCTGTTCTATAGGTGTCTTTACAAACAGAGGCAGAGTGTCTGAGAGCAGAGCTGAGCGCATGTCATGAGAGAGAGAGGATGCTGACAAACACACTGCTCTCTGAGAGAGAGAGACTGACCCAGGATGCCCAGGATACGCTCACACAGCTTAACATCACCAGAGAGAGGAACGCCCAACTTGTGTCAGCACTTAACAACCAGCAGGTACAGTAAATATCACACACAGCCTACTAATACTGAGTTTTGGAAAATCTGTTCGATTTAATGAACTTGTGAAAGTACACCAGAAACCTATTTTAATTTAAGATTACATATATTTATTTGTCGGGTATTGTAGTTTGATATTAGTGGTGTAATTGTGCTGTGTGTATGGTAGGAGAGCTTGTTGGCAGAACTACAGAGCAGCAGAGAGGAGCTTGTAAAATTTCGAGAGAGTGTGTCTGTTACCCTCAGCCAACTCAAGACTGAAAAGGTTTCATCTCTCTATCCTGTTCTTATAGGCATATTTTTATAGTAGCCTATTTTACATGAGAAAATACACACACATTAGTGATCACTTGCTACACCACCTACTGGACAATGAAAATGACTTGTGTTGGCCTTAATTGGTAGATAACATAAACTGCAGTTCAATTTCATTTTACAGACTGAACTGATGTCACACTTAGAGGACACAAAAAAATCCTATGAAAAGGTAATGTAAGACACTATCAAAAGTTTGGGGTTGGTAAGATTCTTAAATGTTTCTGAAATAATTGTCTTATGTTCAAGAAGGCAGCATTTATTTGATCAATAATACAGTAAAAACTGTAATATTGTGACACACAATTGTCACACAAATCTATCAATTACAATTAAAAATGGCTGTTTTGTATTTGAATATATTGCTTGCTGAATAGTATGTATTAATTCTTCAAAATAATCATACCGACCCCAAACGTTTTATTTATATTTATTTACTTTATATAAAAATAAATAAAATATGAGATTATATGTACTGATTCTACAGGTGTGCTTGGAAAATGCTGGTTTAAGGCAGAAACTAAAGTCATTTTTGAGGGAGATCAACGCAGCACCCTTTACCAGTTCCAGCAGTCCCGACACGAACCCTTCACACACGCACACAGACACGACAAATACTGAGATGATCATCGTATCACACCATGTGTCTCAGCAATATCCTGCTGGTGTCACAAAAGGCAAGAGATCCATATAATCTCATTTTCAACATTTGAAGAAAAAAAAAAGCTTTAACATCTATATTAACCTTTTCCCTTATTCATTGGTTAGGCTGTGTTGTTGACATGTATTGTTTTTGGCAACAGGAAGTGAATGCTGCTTCAGTCAGTGTGAAGGGTTTCAGCATCCTGAGGAGGGGTTTACAGAAAAATTTGAAACCACAAACGACAGCAACTGTGAACAGCCTCTGTATAAACCCCGAAGTCTCTACAAGCAGCTGTGAGTCTCTGTTGAACAAATCTTATGATTATGAGTTTCTGGAACCTGAGACCTTATGTAGTGGGTTCTGTGTGGTTTCTGCAGGAGGAGGGAACACAGTCTGTTACTGGACATGATGCTGGCTCTGTACAGGAGAGAGTGGTTTCAGCAGGATGCCATACCATACGTCAGACGTACCCTCAGGAAGTGTGGGCTGAGGCCTGAGGATATAGACTAAAGACTGTGTACTTGTGTGTGAGTGAATGAGAGAGGTGAAAGATGTCCTGTATGAGTCACAGGTAAAGTCATAGTTCACTGAAAGGCATAGTTCACCCAAACATGAAAATTCTCATCATTTACTCACCCTCAATTTGTTCCAAACCTGTATGGATTTTTTCTTCTAATGAACACAAAAGATGATATTTTAAGAACTAATTACACTGAATGAGTTAAAAAGTGCACAAAAGCACTGTAAAATTAGCATAAAATTAATAAATTATCAAAAGTCATAAACTAGCTTTGTGTGAGTAACAGACCGATATTTAAGTTGCTATTCACTGAAAATATTGGAATCCACTCATAGGAGATCATGAGTGTTCATGAGCCAAGTTGCAATGTCCGATATACGAGTGAATTGTTGTTTTAACTCGGTTATCACAGCACCTGAAAATTACTGACTTATATCAGTAAATTGTTACACAAAGCTATCATATGACTTCAGAAGACTTAGAATATAGTGCATGAGCCATATGGTCTACTTTTATGATACATGAATAATGCTTTTACATTTTATGTAAGTTGAAAGCTTCAATTCCTATTATAATTGCATGCAAAAGAATGACCAGAAAAGTATATTTCATATTCTACAGAATATATTCATATTTAAGAAAAAGTCATACAGGTTACACAGTAACAATCACAGTGAGTCAGTTTGGGGGAAAAAATCTCTAATCTTTTTGTTAATAACTTTGAAACTTACATGATAGTATATTTAAATTAAGGGTAGAATAAAGCTAAATCTGTTCCTTTTTTTAGCTAAGAAAGTGATGCACTTTGCACCCAGCATCATCATGTTTGTATCATATCATTTCAGTTATTTAACAAAATAATTTAGTCAATTTAAAATCCAGCTGAAAATGTCTTCACCAACTCTGTTACTCAAAAGACATAGAGACTATTAAGTGATTTGTTGGTGAGTTTATTTATTGGCTACATACATTTACTCCACAGTAACACAAAAAACCAAAACATATACCTCTTTCTATCACACTATATACTTACAGATTTTTACAACTGATGAAATTTTTGTATTGTAGGCTATGATTTAGTCTATGTCAGCATTTAGACACTGATGTAGTCGCTCTTGCAGGTGTTCGGGGGTTCTTGACTGTTGCAGAGGCTGGTTTTGCGTAGGGGGTGAATGTAGGACCAGTCTCGGTCTCTCTCTCTGTTGCTCTTTCTTTTCATGTCTTCCTCCACCTGCAGCACACCCTTGTTTTTCCATTTTCTGAGGTTGCTGCTGCAGCGTGATATACCTTTGTTCTGTGGCCTTGAAAAATCATCATCATACTCATTCTCTGCCTCCTCTCCCTCCTGCAGTGTGTCCTCCGGGACGCTAGGGGGCAGTGCTGAGTGTCTGTGATTCAGATGATCTGCCCCGTATATCTGGGAGTTTGGTGAGCTGGGCCTATATAGAGACCTTGGCACTGGTCTGGCTTTGAATGCCGTTCGTTCTGCTTTGGGAGGCAGGTTGTTGAACTCATCTGCTAGTTTTTTTTCCCGTTTCTTTTGCTCTCTTTCAATGAAGCTAAATGGTTGCTGCGGACGTGGAGAGGCTTGTCGTTGAGAGCCTTGTTGTTGGTGTTTTTTATGGTGACCGTGATCCGTTTGGTTAATTAGATTTGTTTGTTTCTGCAGCTTATTTGGTCGCTTATTAATGATGTCATAGAAGTGCAAGTAAGTGGAAGCAGGAGCCGGCTTAGCGCGAAACTTCTTGCTACATTCTTTCAGCTCGTCCAGCTCTTTCTTCAGTCTCTCATTTTCTAACTCCATCTCAGAGCGGGTTTTCACATTGCGGCGTTTGCGATCCTCCTCACGAAGCATCATGCGAAACGGTTTGGGAATGGTAACTTTAGAATTCTGTCTCAGGCTGTCCATTACCTGATTGGCTGCACTGTGAGATGAGTTCTGCTGGAAGTGACACAACACCATGCGCTCCTCTATTGAGGTCTGCCGCGCCTGCTAATTAAAAAAAAAAACGAGTTAAATGTTAGATTTTTGGACTTTGCTGTTAGAACTGTTTCGTGCAACTCTTCGTACCAATCACAATTCAGACTTTTATGAGATTTTGGTTTTCAAATTGGATGGAAAAAAAATTCAATAAACTTAATATTCCAAAAGAATGTGTGATAGGATGTTGTTTTCAGTAATGTGTAATGCATACATATCTAATAACCAAATGTGTTTTAGGGTTTCATGACACTTAAAGAATTGTAATTTACAGTAGTGGTTCTCAACCAGAAAGCTGGGGCCCACTGAGGGGTCTCAGCAAACTTCCAGGGTAAATAAGTATGAAAATGATTGAATTTCATGAATTTCAGAATGTGCTAGTATTTGGTTTCTTTGACCAAGTAAAACAGAACTGCATTACCCCACAGTTTTAATTATTTATATAAAGTGACCTGTACGAGTAGTAATTCAGAACTTGCAGCTGTTTCTTTTGAATGAAATAAAATAATGTGAGTTTAAGTGATCAAATGTTTATAATTAGCATTCGCTTCACTGGCCTTGTTCCACTCTCAGCCCGACGTGCTTCATATCACAGTAATGTTAATGCAACTTGAATAACTCCCATGATTCCACGCTCATTCATGGCGTCATCAAGCTACGCCTTTGTTATTGTTTTTAATAAGTGACTTCTAGCGGCAAAACTTACATACTGTGCCTTTAATGAAAGAAACACTAGCTGCATAAACTCCACATGCTAGTGTAACACCCGACTTGATGATCATGCTCTCCAGCTTGATATGAGATGAACTAAAGTGCGTTATGTGCTTCAGTGGAAACAAGATCTGTAGAGAGTTTACATGATGATCTCTTAACCTTTTCACTCTAGAGCTGTTTGGATATCTCAACTCCACCAGAATAACCCCAAAACATATAAAATAAACCATACACTGACTCATTGGTATTTTCAGAGGAAGCGGCCCCCGTTCTTCTTCTAGAAAGAACACTTTATTAGGAAAGGCCACTAAATGTTGTTGAATAATTTAGACTGGTGACTAAATTTTAGGTTGGTTTTTGAAATGCACAGAGTATATTTTATAACATTATGTCTAAATCTGCACATCTGTGCAGCATAACAACCTTAAGTAAACTACAGTAAAGAACGTTTATTTAAAAAAGTCACTTGAAAAGTCACATGTTCAGTCTGATCAGCACTTTATAAACAACTAATGCCAATGTTCTCAGAGTGTTAAAAAGTTATTGAACAAATCATTAAGGGAGATCATCTCAGCTTCCACACTGCTCTCATTTTCTGATTAATTCACTGACCTTTACCTTCAGAGAAGAATGACCCTTCTGTAGACGTCCCACCTTGCTGCCAACCTGCATGGTACTACTGAAAGAGGTCAAAGGTCAGGGATCAAACATTGTGCGCGATCTCACTGTCTACGATATAGTAAAATTGTCTTTTAATCTGATTGGTTGATTGGAATTTTATTCCAGGAACAACAAAGATCTGGGGAGAAAAATATATTTAATATATTATGTTTCTATACACATTTAAAATATATAGAATCATAATAATTTAGTTATCTAGTTATTTAATTTTTTAGACTGATAACGTATGTTTAATTTATATAACAGAGCCCATGATGGGTACCCTTAAAAGGTTCCATATATGAAGCGCCTGATAGACCTCTTTAAGGGTCAATGTAGAACCTTTATTTCCTGAAGAATGTGAGCTGTTTCACATTGTCTCGCTTTTAATTTTCAGCCCCAAAAAGTCTAAAAGGTGCTCTATGTAGTGTTTTTTGTACTGTAATACAGCATAAAAATATAATAATATGTTTCCAGAGATGTAGGAAACGTGCATACGGCTACTTTGAAATATGCGTTCCGTGTCTGAACATAATCTGTTTTGGTCTGTGTGATCCCACACACGGCCAATTTACACAGTAGTATTGCGACACCCTGGGTTGCCAGTTGGCTGAAACCGCAGCGATGGAAGCCAATGAAAGAACTGGGTCAAAGATCACAGATACTACCTGATCTTTTGAAAAAAAAAACTCATTTCGAGTGTTCAGCTTTGCTCATTATTATTCAATAAAGAATTTGATTTATTTTCTTTCTTTTTTTTTATCACACACCTCTCTGTATCTTCTCCATTTTTTCTCCAGAAGGTAATGATCTGTCTTTCTCTCTGACCAGGTCTGATCGGGCTCAGATAGAGTTTTTCCATCTCAGCCATGTTTCTCAGGTGTTCTCTCTTCAGCTCCTCTAGTTTGGTATAGTATTCCTGGTTGGAGAACGCGGGTCTCTGCAGTTGATGGGCTGCACACGGTTTCCCAAAGTCAGGATGAGAGCAAGAACTGAAGTCACACACTGCTATAGTCTCACTGTCAGACTGCTGCTCATACTCCTGAGAGACCGAAGGGGAGCAAAACGTAAGTTACAGTGTTACAGCACAGTATAATTGTATATCAAGTGGTTCTTCCATTACCATTACAGATTCTTACTTTCCTAATGCATAACCTTCAAAATTCACTAGTCTTTTGCATTGCATAGGTCAAATATCTACCTCTGTGTGTTGAACAATGTCATTCAGGGAGCATGAATAATCTTTCTCCTCTCCAAATAGAGCCTGAAGTTCACTCGGCTGCAGGCTCCATGTGCGCAGTATTGGGGTCATGGTCCAGGTGCTTTATTCTTCTGAAGTACAGCACAGCTTGCAATTCTGCTCTCATACAGCTTCAGATAAGTATTGCTCTGCTTCCTTTAGCCTTTTGATTTTGCTACAGCCACACTACTGTAGGTTATAGGATTTCTCACCCCACACATTCACACTCAGATGTGCCAATCACAGTTTGTCCCTGTGGATAAGCCTCAAGGGTCACGATTTAGAGCTCGATGCCTGTTTGACCATATGTCCCATATATTCTTCAATCCCTGATTTACACCTTCAGATGTGATTTGTGAACTGACCCATTCCAAACCTCAAATTAGATTTAGAGATTAACAACACTGTTAATTACAGAGGGAGTCCATGATGCGAAAAGGTTTCAGCTAAAGGTGTTTGGAGAGATGTTATAGCCTAAGTGAGGGTTTGGGGCGGAGTGGGAACAATATTTTTTTCTGTATCCTGTTATTATTGTAGAATTTCAAATAACAGATTTATAAAAAAAAAACATTATAATAATAATAATCTCTTAAATCTTAATTGTTTTTCTATACATTTGAATAAAAAAGGCATAGAACCAGTTCATTTTTAAGGGCACTGAGAACATAGTTTTCTATAATTTGTTTGATAATGTTAGTAAGAAAATATAAAAAGACATTAAGATAAATACTGGGACTAAGTTAGCTGCAAAAAGATTACTTTGCACTCATTTGAAATTGACCTATTACATTTTATGATGTGAAATTTATTTAAATGTTGAATTATTTAGCGTGGCCGGGTCTCTCTGTCTGTCTGTCTGTCTCTGCTAGTCAGTCATTCTATTCTACAACACTCACCACCAGTCACTAGCAATCGTATAAGGTGCTTTGGCGGGATAGAAATTTGCTCTCGCGGCCGCCAAAAAATATATAATTGCAGGAAAACCCCTGCATTAGTTGTCAGCATCTGTGTCAATCCATACCATTATCCTATAAAATACTATAAACGGGCGTGCGATTAAAGCAGCACGAAAGAAAACTTCATCAAACCTGATAACAGAGCCATCTACTGCTCTGGCAACGATAATGCGGGTTTGGAATGATTCGTAACATTTTTATAATTGTAACGAGTGTAAGGCCTACAAAATCGATCCAAAGACGGCGTTCGATTTGAGGCAAAGGTCTGACGCGTGTTCCATCTTTCCCATGGCAAAGTGATTTTTAATTAAATGCATACCATTTAATCTTATGTATTAACTCGTTTCATCTGACTCCATAAAACGAAAAAGGTTTAACAATGATATCTGTGCATGATTAAATACACGTTAATGTTTGACCTTAGTCAGACCTTACCTGATATGTAAATCATCAGGTTACAGTGGAAAGTTACTTTATTCCCTCAACATACTTACTGGGGGTAGAAGTTTTGACCATCTGTTAAGAACAGAGGAAATTAGCATTCAGACAATCTCAGAAGGTGTTGACTCAAAGACACATCCTTCTGTGTGCAAGATATTTTTATATTCTTGAGAACTTTATTACCTTTTGATTTACTTCTTTGGGAATGAGACATTATTACCAGTCACTCTGAGACCTTTAAAATTATAAACTATAAAAAATTCTGGGTTGTGTTAACCCAATTTTGGGTCAAATATAGACAAACCCAATAGGGGATTATAATGCTGATACGTAGTACTTCCAGATTCAGTGATCTTTGTGCACTGCCACTTCCGTTGAATTACGAACTGGCGAACTGATGACAGACTACACTAAGTTTATTTATACGTCATCCCTGGTAAATTAGTCTGATTCACTAAAGTGCCGGCTGCAAATAAACGTGCTACCTTGTTTTATTTTTAAGTTTTAATCCAGTTCTTCCTTATACTCAATTCAGTCGGGAATCCATGAAAACTTAAATAGGGTTGGCGTTGTTGGTTAGATTTACAAAGTGGAACAGAGCAGTGACATATATAGCCTTCGTCTCAGCCATTGTTGAACTGCGTCGAAAGTGGACATGCACAAAGTTGACAAATCCCGGAAGCGTGATAATCCCCTATTGTTGGATTAAAAAATTTAATTTATAAATTTAACCCAACAGCTGGGTTTGTCCATATTTGACCCAAAATTGTGTTAAAATAACCTAACATTATTACCAGTCACCCTGAGACATTTAAAATGATACACTATAAAAAATACTGGGTTGTGTTAACCCAATTTTGGGTCAAATATGGACAAACCCAATTGGTGGATTAAAAAATGTAATTTATAAATTTAGCCCAACAGCTGGGTTTCTCCATATTTGACCCAAAATAGCATTTTTTAGAGTGTTTGTTTGAGCTGTTAAAATCTGTGCATAGATGTTCAGGGTTAATCAGGAAGCTTATCAGACATCTGACACTTCAGTTTGTCAATCCATCTGCTACGTCAAGCAGGCTTAATTACAAACACATGCACTAAATTTTGACTCCCTGCAATTTAGGCTACTTTATAAACATAGCCTACTCCTCCAAGAATATCTAAGTTAGGTGTCTTTTCTCTTTAACTCCCTCAAAACAGAGATTTTGTTTTCTAGCTAGATTTCCAGATTGTCAGCAGACAAAAAAAATTCTTCTCGAAGTTGGCAAGACATCATTGATGTATTAATGTATGAATGTGAGTAAGATCCAATATTTTATATTGCCCACAAGAGGGCATTATAAATTCATACTGATGTGATTTTCCAGGTGGAAGGGAGACGATTGCTCTGTCCAAGTACTCATACTTGCTGTCCTGGCTACTTGAGAGTGTGTGCATGCGACCGCAAAGAAGAGCGCAAGATTGTCCCATGTCTAAAAAAGCAGTATCTCAAAAGGCCCTATCCCAAATGGCATCCTAAACACTTGTGGTCTTCCTATGTGTCCGGACTTTCGTGACGTAATAGAGCTTTGACTGTTAGGAGGAAGTCTGCTGTGGAGCTCACAACAGTACGGGCTTGGCAAAATAGCGCATTGAGGACTCATATCGACCTCAAGGGCGGCACTCGCGAGCACCCTTCTGAAACCTAAACTGGAATGAAAGTGCATACTAAAGTGCATATGAACTCACTTGCCCCGAAATCGCGCGATGTCAGAGGAAAAGTTTCCACTGTAAATTAGATTAGATATGACATATCCTTTAATTTGGAAGTAAAAGATAAATTGTTGCTCATTCTATTGGTGCAAAGATGAGTAGACTAAATGTATTTTGTATAACATTTGGATCTGCTTTTTATCACTAAAGCACCACAATTTTAAAAATATGTCTTGTTAGAAGTATATTTGAAAGTGCTGAAAGTATTGAAAATAAAATAGATCTTTAATCACTTTCATTTTTGCAACACTGTAAGAGTGTCCAATTGGATAGTCATAAGTTATATACTCTCAGTCTTCGTGCCTACTTGAACACTGGCCAAGTACAGGAAATTGGTTATATAAGTAGACGTGTGGTCAAGTGGAAAAACTGCAAGTGTGGTTATTTGGACTGAGCAAAAGAACACTAAAGCAGAGGAAAAAACGATCATGTCTTGTTTAGTTGAAAATGTCTTTTTTGAATGCCTTATGAAATGTCTTTTTTATTTTTCAGTTATTACGTTAGACGTTTGCCTCACTTCCACTCTTTCTCATTTGGTCATTTTGGATGTTTGAGGCGTTTAGTTATTGCATCAAACAAGTACTACTCATAAAGTAAAGCATGTGATTATGAGCATTAAGTTAATTCATTCATCTTCGTTCCTCTTTTTGCACTTCCCTAAATGTGTCACATCACACTTTTGTAAATGTGACCCATAATCACAAGTTCCTCAAAACAATGCTCTCACACAAGTGCATGAGAAAGTTTTCCAGTGGAGGTCATTCAATCCAGAGTATATAGTATATAATGATTTGCCAAATGCCTTACTCAAGGTCAGCTATTAATAACGGAAAGTTACAGAATATGTTGATAGACTTGTGTAGCTAAATATGTACAGACCCACGTGCACTTCAATAAACGCAGTCATCCTGAAGGCTGGTGCCGTAATGATGATCTCCTTTAAAACGTCGTCTGGGTGGAGTGTCACTGTTACGTCACATGTGCTCTTGAACAAGACTGATATTTTCTTGTTCTAATCTGGATATGAAAGGGCCCTGTGTTCTATGAAAGGGCCCTGTGTTCTGTAAAAGGACAGTTTGTGTAAACAAGTCTTGCTCCCACTTCAACCAAACATGTATGAAGGCGTATTTTTAACTTGGAAGTGTGACTGTGTCAGTGCAGAGTCAATATCTCGCTCTCTGCTATAAATGTGTGGGGTTAGAAAGCACAAAAAAATGTCTTAGTTAGTGTTTTGTGCCTGTAAAAATATTCAAACATCCTTAATATAAGTTATTTAAATATAATATAACCACATATGTAAAATAATTAAATTGTCTGGGTTTGTTGGCAACATGGCAAGGATAGATTGGATCCTTATCAACAGCATGATTATTAAACAAAACAAACTCAATTTAACAATTAAAATTCTTCAAAAATGTTACGTTATTAGAAGAAAGAAAGCCGTAAGATTTTAAATTATTATGGCAAGTAAATAATGACGAGGTTAGCACGATTTCTTATTTTAAAGGGACACTTCACCCCTTTGCATTAAGCTTTGTATCTTTAGAAACCCAGTCATATTTCTTAATGGTCATGGTTTATTCCCTTATTCTCCCCTGAGATGGGAGAAATAAGGATAAAGTGTTCCTTCCTGCTTATTATGACGTAAAAATCGTCATTTTATTTCATATTAAGCAGGAAGTCATATTTCCAGGGTGTGGGACCCACTCACCCCACAGGCCTATTACAGATCAATGGGTGGGACTTCACTTGCAGAAACTGAATCAATATCAGCCATCTTGTTTGGAAGCTAAGCTAAGAAGCACTGTGGAGATAGGAAGTATGATAACGATGGAAGAAACTAAACATGATATGGAAGGATTTTGAAATTCTGCTGCTCGAATCTGATGTTTGAGGCTATCTTTACGAGTCGCAGTATAGATGAATCCGGCGAAACTACCGGAAGTAAGCGGGGCGCCATTACTGAGCTGTTGCTGGGTAGCGTTGCGCCATTGCCTCCTTTTGTTTTAGTTGCAACTTGCGTCCACTGGAATAAACAGCTCGCAATTTACGACTGTCACTAACGTTACAACGTTACCCCTTGTATAATGTCGAGTGGGTAAACAGTTTCCGTTATAAATTGCTTCAATGGTGGCAGTAAAATTTCAATTTTGAATAGAAAACATTGTGAATACCCCGGGTCGACTGTCCGTCTGGAGCCGTACGGTTTACACAGATTTCCTGGGCGAGTACAAGACGCGGACATTCGCGTATAATAACAATTATTTAATGACATAAGTAAAAAAATATAATATGTGATATAGTGATCAGCAAAATCTCCTCTCTTGCTATTTTTTCTATTCAATTAACATGCTATGGACATTAAATGGCTTTCCTGAGCTAAATGTAAAGTTATGTGACATAATTGTTCTCCCACTGTTACATTGACCTCTTTCCATGGTTTAAAAACACTAATTGGTCGATATTATGTATACTTTCTAGCATAACGTTACCTTACCCTTGCCCGTTGCAATGTGAAAATGAGATAAATAATAATGGACACAAATGAAAAACATGAATTTGTTTATTTGATTTCATTTATTTATTTATTGTTGCCAAATGGACAGATCTTTTTATAGTTTCCTCGTTAGCAAACGTTAGCCTAGCTAGCTTGCCAAGCTATTTTCATAAATAATCTGTAAGATCGTTTGTACCTTCACCTGTGACTGGAGGCCAAGGTCTAACATCATCAACCCAACAAGTCTGCCTGGCTGTAGCTGTCATCGAGGGTGCGTTCGCGTTATCACCGAGGTTTGTTTACATACCGGTGCACATGTCTATGCCGGTGTAACAGCTCAGTAATGGCGTCGCCACAAGATGGCAGCCTACACAGAACGCTCGTCGGATTCGTCTATAGTGAAGAGCAGCTGAGGCTGATGGAGGAACAGGAGGCGGCTGCCTGTCGCGGTCGAGGAGCCAGGACCGGCTCGAGCTGGGCGAACTGCTGGTGCATGTGCTCTCGCTGCGAACTACGAACACAGATAGAGTCCGTCAGCTGCAGAGAATTTCAACGATGGCAATTTCTCCTAAACGAAATCTCTAAATCAGACGAGCACAAGGACGTTTGTGTTGTGATGTGAGCCATCGTAGTTCCGCCTGACTGAACAGGTATCATGCAGTAATTCACCATATAGAAATAAATACAAACGAGTGAGTTTACCAATTTAACGTTCACAGGGTTCGTTGTGGGAAGAAGGAGGCAGGAACCGGCGAACATTTAAACAGTTTAATAGTAAAATGAACAAATACAAAACAAGCCAGCAGGCCCTCATTGACGACTGCTGCTCACAGCAGAAACAAAACGCAACATAAAATCAGGCCGTCCTCATTTTATGCTTTCGCTCCTCTGTGAAAGACGCGAGACCGGCGCGCGCCTCACAGGTGTCTTTCATTATCACTCACGCCGCCGGCCTTGCGCCACAGCCAACTAACTAGAAATTTAGTGTGAAATGAATTTCAAACTCTGGTGGCAGCTAACGTTAGCCTTGTAGACGGAGGAGTCATTTCTCTGATGTGTGCGCAGTTCCGAATTAGTGGGTGTGTGCAATGTGGTGCATTGTGGGAGTTGTTGTCTTACATACAAATGCGCCCCTCGGTTATTTTCGGCCTTTTCTCGGTCAAGAGGGCACCGAATTCAAAAATTCTTTTACATTTCGACCACATATATGATCCACTTTCAATAAAGATTAATGTTGAAATGGGTGAAATGCTCCTTTAAGGATGTTCCGATATTTGAACTGGAAAATAGGACTAAAATGCTTGTGATTTTTTTTTCTTTGTTTGTTTATTGTAGTGAGGGTACTGATATTTCCCCCGAGAGAAATATCTGCACATGCAAATGCACTGCACATGCTGCATGCATGACTCCTTCCTGTTCAGTTCAAAACCACATGGTTGGCAAAAGCACCAGAATAGAGACAGAAAGAGGATTTGAGCCCAGGTATATCTTGGATCGTTCTCTTGTTTCACACATTTTCTTTTTTCTCTTGTACATCTCACTTTTCTCAGTCCTGTCTTGTTTCTCTTTTTTTCTTTCTCACAAGATTGCCATCTAAATGTGGTCTCTTTCGTGCCATGTGACCTGCACAGAAGTGCTTCAACATGCTTTATATACTCTTGAAAATCACTCCTCATGGTTTGACTTCTTATACTGTTGGATATGGAAAACGGGCTGCACATAATTGTGTAATTGTGTTCTTGAGTAATTTTATGGTTACTCTAAGAACACAGGCTTCCTTTATTTTCTGGATTTAATCAGAGCTCTAGATCTCACGGGGAACTTCTCTTTTCTCTTCTCTCGCTCTTTCTCTCCCCTTGATAATTTCCCCACTGCTTCATTTTCTGTGGAACATTCTGAATCCAAACTATTCTCTCCATGTAAGTCTTGTCTATTTTTCTGTGAATCCATTGAGAGTAGACTCTGAAGAGAGTTTGCCCTCTGACTTTTAGGTGTGTGTAGTTGAGGCACTGTTGGTTCCATAAATAGTGTCTTGCAATACTGGCTTTCTGGGTATCTTGTGTAGCAAGCATTCAAGATCGAATCCACACACACACACAAGTCAAGCCATGGCCAAGAGCATGTGAAGAGCTTTCAGCTGGCTGCGAGTGAGATCAAGGCTGAAGACTTTTGCCTTTTATAGCTGGAGAGAGGAGTCTGGACAAAGTAAACAGTGAGTAATACTGCGCTCTTTCCACTTCCTCTCTCTTTGGGACATTAAGAATGTTCCCAGGCCTGTTTACATGACTGCTTGAAATTAAAATAGCTTATGTTTATGGGTTCACTCTCTTTTTCCAGGATAGAGATTGTGTGCTGTGTATAGGAGAGGACAAGGGAGAGAGAAAGCAGAGGGGAGGTGTTGTCACCGTGTAATGTTCATTGTTCACATTTTAAATCAGCTAACCTTTTGCAAATAATTTTGTTGTCTCATGTTCTTTATGGATTTTGGTGCTGAAATCCCTTTATGTAGTGTTGACTTGGGAAGTTGGGATTGCAGTATGACCTGTTTATTTATAAAGCAGGCATCAGATCATTTTCCTGTATAACATGTGATTCGAATCTTGTACTGCTCATAATGAAATATATGAATAGCCTTGATGACCTAATTTCATACCTCATGAGACTTAAAGCAGTTCTTAGTAATGTTTCAGTCTCAGATGTTTCTACCAAACCTTTAAAATCTAGATAAATTAGAATTGTTCACAAATGAGTAGAGCTATGACCTTAATGTGGATAGGAGAGCTCAGATAACGAGTTCATATTCTTCCTAATCTGACATAATTGCAGGTTTTTTTTCGTGTGTGTGCTAGTCTCAGCACAGTGTGTGACACCCAGCAAATTGAAATTGTAATTACGTTTCTGGCACTGCACAAAACCAAAATTTGATACAGATTGTATTTATGATACCTATCACGTGTCTGTCTGTGTATGCGCTCAATGCCAAGGGCAACTGTAGCAATGTATGACGCACAGCTAAACGAGTAAATAACAGTAAATTTGACCTTACTTTAAGTTTGGACTGGCAGATTTCAATTGGACTATAGATTATGAAACTGAAAACTATTGTTTCATAAATAATACAGAACTTTCAGTAAATGATCTTGGAATTCTTAGAATTCTATAATCTATTGTCAGTAAATGATTGAAAGCACACAATTCTCTAGAATGTCATTGCCTGCTGTTGCTTTTAGTCCTCACTGAAAATGAAGGGCCAAACCACACATAATAATTATTGATTTTCCCATATCTTTGTATATGTAAAATATAATAGAAATGAGCAGCAATAAAGCTCTCGACCATCTTAACTTGCCTTTAATTCCTTCTTAACTTAACCTTATACCGGAATACAAAAATTATGTTTATTCAAGTGTGCTATTAGTTCAGCTTTAAACTTTAACTAAAAATAAGAACATGTTTTGGCATCAATACAATAGATTTGTTTGAAAATACAGATTTATACAGAAACAGATATGTTCCTAATTCTGATTATGTGAGTTTTTGTGTACTGGGAGCATACATTAGAGTTTACTTCAAATTACTTACAGTTAAAGATATATTTCAAGTATAAAAAAATATACCTAAATGGGAACATAGTAGTATACTTAAAGCAACACTAAGTAAGAATTTTTACGTTAAAATAATGTTTCCAAAATCGTTTCTGTGGTTCATCATAACAGGGTGAAAGGCACTTCTGCTTCTGCTTTGTGGTCCTATATCTGCTATAATCATGGTATGTAAGATTGCCAGATTGGGTTGCGTTTCTGTAGTTCTAATGAGACATAAGAAACCTACAAATTTGACTTGCTTTACGTCAAGCGTTACAATAGTCCTTATTTTGTTTTTATTTGTTTCTCATGTCGCAATACATCATACTTTTATGAAATCATGCAACATAGTCTACCTTGTCTGTGGATATCGTTCATTCCAAAGCCGGTGCTGGATAAACAACAAGTGTGTGTGCGACAGTAGGCTGCAGTAAATTATTTACAACAGCGGTAATGGACAATTCCGCTTCCAACCTGTAGGGCAACCACAGAAGAAAAGTTACTTGGTGTTGCTTTAAAGTGCAAAAATAGCAAGAATGGTAAACTAAATGTATGATATTAAGTTCACTTAAAGAAAAGAGTTTACAGAGAGAATTCTTCAAACCGTACTTTCATAAACTAAAAAAAGTGTTGTACAAGTATTTAACTAGTAAACTATCAGTATAACTGTACATTCACTTGTTAGTATTTGCAATACAAACAAAAAACGTAGTTACTGGTACAAGTAACGTTTACTACTGTTAGACTTAAAGTATACCTTTAGGTACTAAAAAGTGGGCCAATTTAGTCCTTGTGGCAATGAAATTGTAAACTTACAAGTATACTACTAGTAGCCTACATTGATATTATTCTACATAAAGTGTTCTCAAAAAATATTCTTGAACTTTCCTTAAATAGTAGCTACTTTAAAAAAGTATACTTGTTTTTTTGTAAGGGTATCCTGTAAAGATGCAGTTCCAGATATAAATGTTCAGCCAGTCTGAAGATAAAGTTCTAGTGTTTTTGCCAAATTCTTTAGGTACAGGTGACTGTTCCCCTTGAGGACAGCTGGTCCTCTGTGCCAGAGAGAACAGAGAACGCCCACTTGGATTCAGTGACTAGGCTGAAAGACAAGCTCTTTTTTCACTCCATAGTCAGCAGTATGGAGATCCGGCAGATCTGGTGAAAAAGGCGATGAGGTACTGACCCTGAGTCAAAGTGAGGTCACATTCTAAACTAACAGCGAAGAACCACAAAAGAAGTGGAAAAAACTGCATAGATGCTTGGTGGTAGCACAACTATCATTGTGCTCAGTCTTCGGCACTGTCAGGTTCTTCTAGGAGTGTTCATGGATAGTGAATTGTAATTGGTTTTGAACAAGGGGCATCTGGTACATGGCAAGATTCTCAAACTGAATTACAGAGATGGGAGATATTTTGCATCTTTTGTTGATGACTTTATGCCAAATTAGAATATAATTGGCTCTTTTATTCAATAGTTTCCACTCTTAATCATATATATTTTTTCTGATTGCTTCTGACTGATCTCTTCATCTCCCCCGTGGCAGATGCTGTGGTTGTTGTGTTGTCCTGGCAACACTGACAGTGAAATTAATGCACTGAGAGCGCTGCATTATTGATCAGTGTTAATGAGTTAAAGGTGTGGCAGATTGTGTAGTCAAAGTCTCTGTAATATGAACCTCTACCCTGCTGTGTGTGTGTGTGTGTGAGAGAGAGAGAGAGAGAGAGAGAGAGAGAGAGGTAGGATGTCCCAGATCTAAAATCATGAACATCATGATAGGGGTGGGAATCAGTATGTACATGGTGATATGATATCAATATCTGGGTCACCATATAATAACATTGCTATTTTTTCATGTTATTCGAATAATTACATGTTGGTATTGACTAGCTAATGTTTCCCACACTAGTTTCTGTATGTAACTGTATGTACCCTTTTGCTTTTATATTATCAAAAGTTTCATTATTATTATTTATTTCCCCATAGCCCTTATCTACAAAAGGAAGTCAATGCTTTTAAAAGGAAATCAATACTGCAAGGAAGCATTAAATTCAGCTTTGCCATCAGAGCAATAAACTACATTTTATAATTCATTACAATAGAAAACAGTTGCTTTTAAAATATAATAATATTTCACAAGATTACTGTTTTTTCTGTATCACAGTGGTGTTTATTTGCTTCATTGTTTGGTAACACTTTCAAATATGGTTTAATATATTAGATATCACAAACATTTAAAAGACTCACTGGGCCAAAACTTTTGATGAAAAGCCAAATAAACCTCTTTTGCAACTGAAAGCGGTACCACAACGCTCACTTTGCACGTGTGCGGCACACTGTATGACAGACCGCTATGATGATGAGGCTTTTTTTTTGTCATGGAAGACATTAGGCCTACTGTAATAGTCTGTTTACTTAATGTCTATTAAAAAGACAACCCTCAGGGAAAAACAGAGCTAATGGTCTCAAATGGAAAACAGTAGTCTGTCTTTTGCTCTGTGTATCCAACGTTATCTCACCACCAATTCATACGAATTCGAATTTAACAAAAATAGCACACATTCATACAGGTGAGGTCGTATGAATTGGTACGAATTAGCCACCTCGTCAAATTCGTACGAATTGCCGTGAGATCGGGTTGGTGTATCTGCATGTTTGTTTAAAGGCTTAGTATTGTATCCATGGGCAGCTTTAAATGATTTGAGCGCTCATAAACAACAACTGAGATGACAGAAGGTCTCAGTATGGATTTGTCTTGGAACAATGCGACATCATTTCAAATCAGCAATCAGAAGCAGACAATGGGGTTTTCTTTGAAAATGCTTAAGGAGGGACCTTGTGTACAGAACATACACTCAGTGTCTCTCGTTCCGTTTCCGTGGTTCTATGTCCCCTGATGATGATAATGCTCTCTTCCTTATCATCTCTATGGTTACATAGAACCAACAACATTTGGAATTGTACTGTACTGAGTATATGTAAGCAAGCAAAACAAACAGCACAGAGTTGCTCAGTGCTTAATGGCCTTTGAGGAGAACTGGCCACAAGACCAGAGAACAAAGCACATTTTGTTCTTCTCAGCATGTCTTGGTGGATTAACATCTTAACTTTGGTTACTGCTTAATCTAATAATGCAGAAGTGGGTCATGATACAAATATTTTGAAGTAAATACATGCATGCATTGTCTTTTTTTGTGCGTTTGATAATCGAACATGCATGTAAGCTGTGAAGACACATCAATGGGTATTTCCTTGAAACTACCCCTGAGTTTCGCAGAAATCAGACAAGAACCACAGCCAAGCCATGTGCAGTTTTAGACCTACTGTGGTAGGCTATCTGAATGATAATGCTCAGGAATGATTTATGCTGCATTTAAAATTGTATACTACACCCAACTGAAGTAAAAATGTTCAGAATTATAGCTGTTTGGGGCAATTAAAAAAACGTAATTTAAAAATTTGAACCAACAGTTGTGTTTATCATATTTGACCCTAACATGGGTTGATAACGAGTGTATTAATCACCATTTATTCCAATCCCTGCATGGGAGCTCCACTGGGCCGACAACAAAAACAATGAATGCATAAAGCATGAAAATATTTGCTGCTAATGTTTAGTTTTAAGGTT